TTCACTTGAATTAAATTATTCAAATGATTAATGAAGAAAACGGGTAGAATCACACCATCTGTTTTATCTCTCGTTTTCAGCATTTACATTTGATTATAAGTTAGGCCAAGCAATAATACTTGCAAATAAGTGAGTAGATACAATCAGTTGCACTTTTATATGCCAACTTCTTGGATGAGCATGAACTTCTGGGTAATTACAGTCCCAACTTACGCTTCAGGCAATTCTTAGGGCAACTCTAATTATATGGGTACACAGGTATTTAGAAATTAACTTCGATACAAAGTAAGCAGTATACTTAACCTGAACTGTTATTACATGTGAATTCAATCAAAGAAGTGAAGATCAAGAAGGCGTCTTCAGTTCTTTACGCATAATTGTTGGTTTGTTTTCTAGCCATTTCCAGGAACTTAATGTGAGGCACACCATTACTTAAAGCTGAAAGCGGCAATCCAATTTACCATGGTTCTGCAATATTTCACCCTGATTAAAGTAGAGCACCAATCCCATGACATTTCCTTGGCTCCCCCTGTTTCCACATTTTAAATTCTTTTATTCTCATTCAGCGAAATAAAAAACGAATCAGAATTGGAATAAAATTATGCGACAATCTGCCCAGGTTCTGGGATCCGCGCGACCATAAATCGCATTAGAATGCAGAGCAGATCCTTATTGATTCACTAATCGAATCGGCGATGGCGGGCGGAATGGCGGGCCCCTCGCAAATAACTCATTTAAGGCGCGGGCCGTGCGAGGAATCGAAAGCGATTATGCAAATGGGAACGCGGACGCCATGGGCATGGTTTTTTTAGGGGGACGGGAATCCAAAACAGCCAGTCAGCAGAGGAAGACAACGCGTCACGCGCCGCATAAATATCTGCAAAATGTTTCTAATAATAGTCGCCCAGACGGATATTAAGGAGGCCAAGGCATCAGCTGCATGGGAGGAAATGCAAAGTGGAAATGGATATCCAGAACATTTGCGATTTTAATTTGTCTGACAAAATTTATTTAACACTCATGGCTGACTCGCATCAAGGATTATTTATGAACGCCCCACTGAACATTTCAAACAGGCAGAAAAGCTCCCTGACAGACAATATTAGAAAAGATACATTTTAAGACGATATTTTAAAACTTGCATTTTTTAAGATATATTACAAATAATAAATTTCGATTCTTTTTACCCAATCATTTTTTAAACAACAAATATAATTTAATCCCTGAAAACTTTTTCTGTGCGTTGTGTGGAACTGGCAAATTGAAACTCAACTTTGGTTTTAATTTCAGTTATTTTTTCGCCTCTGTTTTTGCGCCGAAACACCATAAATAATAAAATTACTCATCCGCATTGCAATCTACTGATAAAAATATTTAATTGGCTTTTACTCGCACGGCAGCCGGTGCAGCGGAAAAATCGAATCGGAATCGCATTTTTGCTACCGCGCATAAATCGCGGATGCGGCGATGCAAAGAGCCTGATAAATAATTTAATCGAAATTTTTACGTGGCGCGGACACAGTGCAGAGCAGCGAGATAGGGACGAAAATGGAAAATGGAAAGCACGCACTTCATTTATATTTAATTTACAATGACGCCGCACCATGTCGGTGCTCGGGGGCGAGTGCTGTAGTTCTAGTCGCAACCTGGGGATCCGGCCATTCCGGGCGATCTCATCTTACAGTGCTCTGTTGCAGTTATTTTTATAACTAAATTATATACGCCTGTCTTGGCAGCCCACGGCCACTTGCTCCAGAACCGGGGACGAGTAAACCAGGTCCAGAATCTCAGATCCCAGCCATGGCAACCAGGGTCTCTCCTCCTTTTTGAGCTCGATTTATGGCGCACAAGGAGCGCGAAACCATAAACAGCTTTTATGGCGTTCTACTGGATTATTGCCAGCAAGACGGTCCAGGCCAAGCCCCAATCCCAATCCCTAGTCCAAGCCAATCCCCAGATCCTTTTGATTTAGCCAGGCCAATAAATTGTGTGCCCCACATGCAATTGTTTTCCCATCTTCGGGGCCTCTCTTCAATTACCAGAGTACTCGGCTCGGACCATTTGCAAGTCGCGTTGCAAATATTTGATCGTCTGATGCTCAAGGAAAATGGTAGAAAATCAAGAGATCTAATAGATAAATCTTAGGCTAAGTATCACAATCCAAGGAATTTCGATTTACGTAAATTTGAAATAGTTTAAGCTTCAGTCAGGATGGTCTCTTTTGCATGTAAGTAGGAATGGGCTTAGCATTTTATTTCAGTCTTCTGTTGTTAATTGAATTACAAATTGTATATTATTTTTTACATGCGTTAAAGCTCGCGTTATTTTATTATTAAGTAAATACTACCACTTTTGGGACCTTAACTGAAGTCCCGTACACCGAATTGGCTTCCTTTGGATTTCTATTTCCATCAGCTAAACACAAGTTAAGGCGTGTATTTATGAGCCAACTAATAAATATATGTATGAGTTAATCGATTTTTGCTTTTGTTTTTGGCCCAAAGTATTTCCTTATGTAAACGGATTTCATTTATTGGGAACGTTTGTGTTGGCCTGGAGCTCCTGGAGCGGAGAAACTTTTTTTGCGCCCAAGTTGCGGCGGGCCAGTTTGTGGCGACATTGCTGTTGTTGCTGGCGGTATTGTTGTAGCTGTTCCTTAGCCCCCACTCCAGCACCACCACCACCCCCCTGGGGTTTATTCATGACGCATAAATCTCGGCGGCAACACTTTATGCGAACACACAGCCGCACCAGTGGAAAATCGGCAACCACACGCCATGTACTCCTCGTAAATTTCGTGAGTAACTTTTTTACGAAATTAAATCTTGTAACAACAACAGCCTACAACAGCATGTATACATATATTTATTTATATGTAGGTATGTTTTTTATTCGTATTTATGTAATGGAGTTTGTTGCGCCGCTTGGCCAGCACACGGAAAAAAAATAAGTGGAAAAGCTTTAATTTCTTTAATTCCTAATCTAAATATATAAAGCTGTGATTATAATACCAAGAATCAACGCAGATCCCAAACTACTAAAAATGTTGAATTCCAAAATTGAATTAGGCCCTAAGCCTTCATTTATCAGAGTTTTTAATTCCTTGGTCGCTTAACAGGGTGATCCCCAAGATTTTAAGTGAATGTCCCATTTTTAATATATCGAGCTGGTTGGTTATCAATATTTTTTCTGTGTGGATCTAAGGCCGGAGATTTCGGCGGCCCAAAACTGAAGCTGGCCAAACGAGGCTTCGAGGTGGGCGTTGTGGTTGTTGGTGGTGCGTCCGTCGGTGGGTGGGGCGCTGTCTTGGGCCAACGCGTGTTTATTGCCCTGCAGCCGGGGGCCAGAGATTTACAGGCCAGGCAGCCGGGTCGCATAAATCTGTCCACTCAGTTGTCCTGCTGCCGGCCAGAAGGGAATTGCCAAGGAGTGGAACTTGGAACTTTGGAACTGTGGCCTAGTGGGCGGACTGCTGGAGATACGAGGCTGCTCTATGAGGATCAGGTTACCCCGGGAATGGATGGATTCCGGGGGGGAAGGGGATCGGTCACGCTTGGGCCGAGAAGCCCAATGGATGCGGTCAGCTAATTGTTAATGCACTCGCCATTACGGGCGAGCACTGGGCGAAAAGCAGCACGTGAATGTAAAATGCCTTTTAATTACCCGCCATATATTTCACTTTAAGCATTTCAATGCAAATTGCCCGGCAATGCACCGCAGCCAGGGTAGGGGCCATATTAAATGTAATTATTTGGCACAAATTGCGTGTTTAGGATTAATTATGATACGGATAGGCTAATAACGCGGCCCAAAGTGCAAAAAAACCCATTTTCAAATTATGCGCCGTCGCTTTAAATGAGCTTTGATTGGCGACCATCGGATAGGATATCGCATTAAAGTTAATTCCACGCACCTAAATAATGCAGTCGCCATATGTGTAAATGGCTGTGCGTGATGGGAATTTAATATAAACCAGCTCATTTTATTAGATTTAAAGTGTTGCTGACATGCTAGGATTTTGAGCTTTTTAAAGCCGTGTTTATGGGCCTTAAAATGTGAATTTAAAAAGTCTTCTCTTTACAAGCCCATTTGTACACGATGTTTAAATACAAGTTTAAATTTTACTCACCTTTGGGTTTAATCCTTAAAATATCCAATGCTGCTGCAATACTTGTAGTCAATGAATTTGCAACATATCCCAGCTGTTTTCCCCATTCCATTGAACATGACACTACATAAAACAAATTTAATTACGCAAATGTTTTCATGTCCGTGTAAATTTTCATGTTCCTGCAACGCCTGTTTTGAATGGCAGGCATTCTGCATTTTGCAGGAGGACGGTGAGGAGACAACCGAAATCTGTTGAGGGTCTAAATGCAGCTGGGAATGAGCCCAGTTAATGGGGGTTTCAACAAAATTGAATAAAAAAACCTTGAAGGATGCTCAAGGTAAGCATAGAACTTTCCCTAAACAATCATTTAGCAGGTTGAGTCATTTTGCACGGTCTAACAAAATATGAAACAATCATAATTTTTAGCCATGGCTAATAAAAAAACGGCGGCCAAGGTCAGGTCAGGTTCCTCATTAAAAACACACAAGTGCAGCTGCTAATGAGCTATCTTCTGGATACTATAAATACTGCCGTCTCTTTCCCGCCCTCGTAAAAAGGTGAGCGACGGCACCTTTTTTAATGGCCGCCGGCGGTGATGACCTTGGTGCGAATTTTTAAGCGGAAAAAAGGCAACATACACACATTTTTTATGGCACATTCCCGTTGCGTGGCGAACCGTTTCGGATTTGGTTTTTTACCATCAGCCTTTGGAAATTTATGATTTATGACGCGGGCCGTGTCCAAATCCGTCCAAATGCCCGCATCCGTGACCCTTTTGCATGCGGTCCAGGATCGGTTGGTGTTGTAGGATCTTCAGGGATCGGCGGCTGCTGTTTTGTAAACACTCAGTATGAGTTCCAATTCCCGGCTGCTTGGACGTTGCGGATCGGCTTAAAAAACGCATCGGCTATTTTCTGTTTGCCAGCAATTCGAAATGAGTTAAAATGTGTGCAAAATATGAAATGCCATAAATGGCATATGTGCCGTGTTCCATGGGAAAGTGTTGAGTGCAGTGCGTCTGAGGGATCGAAAGAGGTCCATGTGTTAAAGATGTGTTTGCCAAAAATAAAAAACGGAAAGTCAAGGGGGTGATGGGTAATACCAAAATTGAATTGGATAAAAAAATCGTTGGATTCAATGGTAAGTTGTTAAATGGTTCACTTCATAAATGTTAAGTACTAAGGGTCTCTTAATATTAATTCAACCATCCAATAATGAGGACTAAGCGATAATTTTTTTTCCATTTAACAAAAAAGGACCCCATTAGCTCCTTTAAAAATATTTTAAACTACATTTCTTGACATCCATCTCCCACTTAATTGAATTCAAAGGAAGCTCACAGGGCTCCTTTAAAACAAAAAAAAAAGAAGCGAAAAGGAGAATTCAAGAAGAGCCCAAGAAAATGGTTAAGATAAATCACAGACGAAAACCGCAGACATGCCTGCGCATCTCATCCGGGGAACATTTCTCGCGTCCCTATCTTTCCCCAGATTTTTCTCAGCGTTTTGAGTAATTCCGCGGAATAAACGATGAAGCTGCCGGACAGCCCCCGACCCCTGAAAAAATACAGAAAAATAAACCCGCTCCAGGTACAAAAACAACGAGATCGGGCTGCGACAAATCTTGAGAGAGCAATAAACAACATGGTTGACAATCTTAAATCTTGCGACTTGCAGGCCATCCCACACAGATACAGATACCGACGGATACAGATACAAGCTCACAGATACAAATGCGAATGAGTGTCGCAGCCATTATGGAACCCCTTGTTTTTGTTGCCTTTTGTTGGCTCACTTCTTTTCCAAACGACCAACACTATCACAATACCAATGCCAGTTTTCAGATTTCAGACCCAAGTAAATGTTGCGGTCATTGCTATGCCGGAATGCAACAACAACAATGCCAGCGGAGAGCAGGGTTCAGTTCAGGCCGCTTTAAAGGCTTGGCCGGTTCTGTCCCGATACGATACAGCCCATAGGTAGGTAAAGAAATACCAAGGCACCCCCTGCTCTCCAAACAAAATACTGTGGGTTGCATAAGAAAAGCCTTCAATGAAAACTTTGTACAAAACTTAGAAGTACAAAAAAATTTACTCAAAAATAAAAACATTAATTTATTTCTAAAACTACAACGGGAAATATATACTTAAAACTTACAAACAATTATAAGAAAGTACACCTGTGCTGATTTTTGAATAAATTTTATTTTTTTTAAATATTTAATGTTCAAATTTAATTTAAATATTCAAAAAATGGTATGTAAAAAAGTACTACTTGAATACTTCTTGAATGTTAAAAAATGTTTATATTTGTGTTCCTAGAATGTCTTTTTACCTAGAATTGGTAGCTGCTTTCCACAGTAAAGACATGGACTTGAACCAAGTCAGCATTTGGCCTTTTGGCTTCTTTTTGGCCGCTTGGCCTGTTTGTTGTTTGTCTCCTTTATGGCTTCTTCTCCATACCCTTTATCGCTATCTCCGATTGCAGTCGGATTTTTCCCTGCTTTTTTATTTTGTTTTTTACTTTGGGGTCACATTTTCGTGCTTTGCAGGTAAGAGGAGCACACGAAAAGCCTTTTCTTTGGTGGTGGTCGTTGCCATTCGAGATTCGTTTGCGGATATCGAGTGTCTGGCGGTTTTCGCTCCCCAACCATCCAGCGTTACGTTAAGCTTCCTCGACGAGAACTAAGCCATCCAATAACTTGTAAAATAAGCACTCATCTAAGCCCGTAAATCATCTACGAACTGGTTAACGACATTTTAAACACTCGGGAAATCAGGGCCCGACATAAAGATTCAATGAACAGCCAAGACATAAAAACCACAGACAACAAGCTCGAACAGAACAGAAGCGTTTGGCATTTGATGTTTATTTAATTTGCCGCAATTCATAACAATTTCGTTTACGACATTTTTACTACTCGACAAATGCCGTAAACAAAACACAGCGTCGATTTGCTCGATGCCCTCTCCTCTGACTCCTCTGGCACACGCTCAGGTTTTTATGGCTCCGTGTCCGTGGACTTGAATCTGCTCTGCTCCTCGACAATTAAACGCCATCATCGAGTTGATTCGAAGGCGAAAGTGCAGTCAGCACCCCGGCGATTTACGGCCGTTTTATAGATCGTAAAAGCCGCTCTAACGGCCGTCCAGATGATTTTACGACGTGTCGAAATGCCACCAGGACGAGCTGTTCCAGCACTTGTCCCACGATTCGGAACCGGGACCGAATTGGATCGCATCGGATGTGGTTCAAGTGCAGCGTCGTAAAAACTTCCTCCGTACTCCCGTGACTACTTGAAAGAGCCGTTAAAGGGCTATAAACAAAAGTGGCGCCCAACGAGGAGCCACCGCAAGTTGTCGGCCAGACTTACGTGTCGTTATCCCTGCGGATTGTGTGAGCGATTTGATTCTGATTTGATAAGGATAATAATGTCTGATCGCCATAAAAAGACAATCAAGAAAAAGGAGGCGGAAAGAGCATATGCCCAGTAATTGGTCTGTTAAAACAAGAGTTTTATGGGACAATGATAAAGAGATATTTGGGTTTATAAGTAAATGTCATATTGAAAGAAAAAACAGTACGTTGAATTATTAATTGACCAATTCATTTGTACTTTTTTTTAGTTAGTTACAAGTTTATAATGTTTTGAAGTAACCTTATTATTCCCTTCAAAGTGTTGATATGCATTGAAAAATAAATTAAAAGCCATAAAGTTTGGCATTATGAGATGATGAGTAGATCTCTTACAGAAGACCACAGTGCACTCGCGGCTAATTGAAGTCTGCTAGAAACAACAAAGGGCCGCATTACCGCGATATATAGTACGTAGCTTATCCATATCGTGCGCGATACCCATTATTAAGCCAGCCGAAGACGTGTTGATGCACTGGGCCAGGAACCAGACATTTCAGACAGTTCGGACAATGCAGATCCAAAGACAGAGGGCCACGGACAATGAACAGCGAACAATTGAGCTAATGACGTGACTATGGACACTCGACGCACTGCCCGGTCATTTGGCAACTGGAAAAAAGCCAGCCCCATTCCGATTTGGATGGCCATTCCATTTCCAAGCCAAAAGTCCCTGTCTGCTCCGCGGTTCATTGTTATCATTCGAAATGGCAATGGGCAAACTTATGCATCGAAAGTGTTGTTAAATTACGCCAAATTGCTTAATTTCAATAATGAAACGAACCGAACGGTCGGCAACCACTCAATGAAATTGTAAATTTTCGGCCCAAATGATATGCAAAGAGCACCGAAAAGGCGGAATGATCCGTGATCGTGATGTCTCCTCCTTGTGTTTCTTATTTCGATTCCGATTTCGAGTGTGTTTCCCCCGATTCAAGCATATGGAACAAAAACAAAACCAAAACAATACGAGCTGTTTTGGTTGAGTGTCTCGACTATCAGTTACTCTTTACCCTTTTTACCAATTTGAAATAAAATTCGATTCTACTTTTAAGAATCCTATACTCTGCTAAAAAGGATGTGGCGAAAATTGATATCAAAAATGATCCCTTTCGGATCAATAGACATGAGAAAATACCTACTGCGTAAGGAATGAACACTTTTATCATTACAAATATAATTTGTACATTCTTTTCTTAACAGTTTAACTTTCTTCCAGTGTATACTTACTCGATCTCGTCCAGACGGCGGCTCGAGTCTTCCAATTTAATGGGCCCATTGAATCGGTCGTTAATGTTGCTTTTTATTTGGCCTTTTATTCGGTCCACTGTGCTTGTGGCTGTATATCCCTCTGTTTTAGTCTCTTTTTTCGGTTATTGTTGCTCCAGACTTACTCAATTGTGTTATTGTTTATTTATGCGAGCTTAAGTAATGCGCTGCAATTCCAATTTCAAAAGATAATTTCAAATTTACTGTCAAATAATTTATTAGACGAATGCCTCTCCACTGGGGAGCTACTTTGGAAGAAGCTTTATTGGGCTTCTTTGTTTGTTTTCTCTTCTGTTTGTGTTCTCCCCCAACGAAAACACTTTTACATTTTTGTGTGTGTTTTGGAAAAGATAAAAGGAAAGGCGCAGCGAAAAGTTTTTGTAAAATTTTTTGGTATTATTTATGGGTTGCCTGTCGTGGGCGTATACGTAATATTTTATAATTTCCGAGTCGGGGGGCAGAAACTAGTTGAACCGAACGACTTGTGATTTGACACGGCAGACAGTTTTGATGGCCCATTGATATCACTTTAAGGAGTGGGTTGTCCACTTAATCAATTGTAATCTATTAAAGCTGGTTTTAAATAGTAAATAGTCGCTTTAACAATGGGAATGGGTATTAATCCGGCGGTATTGAATGGTAAATATTCTAGGGTTGAATAAAACCTTTGTTTGAGATTAGTAAAAAATAAATATCAAGTTGTAGTGAATTGGAATAAACATTTATATCAAGGTACTGGGAAAACATAGACAGTGGCCATTGATAATTATTTCAACTAGTGTATAGAGGAACACTGTTAAGTACTTCTTCTTCTGAAGCAATAATATCTAATTGAAAAATCGTATTAAGCTTAGTAAATCTATAAAAAGCCATTAAATAAATTAAATAATGAAAGAGCTTTTAGTTCAACCGAGAGCCGATTCAGTATCAATAAATCGGAGCCAATCAACTGGAATCCTTACTGATTTTCCATGTGACAACTCTTTGTCTTTTAGCCAATATAAGTCCCTAGTTTATCATTATAAGTTATGGGCACTTTCGGCCGACGCCATCAGAGTCGTTTTACTAAGTGCAGAATCGGCGGCTCACGTCCTCCCGTGGGCTTGGGTCTACTGAATAGCATACGGCTACAGATATAGTAGTTCCTGCCCGATCGGGAGACATTGCCCCTACGGAGGCGTTCAACCTAGAGTGCTTCATGGCATGGCAATTGCGACTGGCAACTGGACTGGTGACGTTTGCTGCCACTTTATCACGGCCGTGCATCATAATTTAGGCAGCCATTCCACCCACACTGGCATGGCCAACAAAGAGACACACTGACAGAGGTTGCAAATAATAAAATTCGTTGACATTCGGTGTGCTGACTAAGCAGCCAAAAGGCCGAGGACGTGTGCAAACCTGGCCAAGATGGCCCAGCGCGATAGCCACAAAACGCTGACCACGCCCACCCATCGA